TGAAAGTAAATAATAATGGCCATAGTCAACCACATATATAACATCACTTTTTGTTTCAGTGGCCTTGAATCAAGGAGAGTCAATTGCTAAATAAGAATTCCATTAATTCTCCAAAATTGATGAAGTTGGTGAATACAAAACTACATGGAACTCAGATGATGTATAGTACAACATTTTCAAATCTGAGAACAGAATTCAAAAGCAGATTTTCTGACTTTCATGTGGATGTTCTTTTTGCCATTCACAGCCAACTCTATAATGGCCTTGAAGCGCAAAAGTGACGTGATTCAGATGGTCGATGTGTTTTTGTGGTAGTGTGTGGTTGTGAACTCGTGGTCGTGGATTTTTTGGATGTATATTTTGCTATTCTAAGTGATTTTAAATCACTTACGCTAAAAGGTAAATAATTTTTTTATCTATATTTCGTTTTATACTTTTTTAATTTTTAGATTTATTTGGGAAAATTTGTAGTTGTTCTCAATCCTATTCAAGTATTTCGTTTTAGCATAACATCGAATACATTTTATCTAGTTTGGACATTTCACATAGTGTTGTTTTGAATATTTGTTTGGAATAGTACATTAGGAATTCTTTATTTTGATTATTTCTTTCTAATCGCATATTTGACATGCTGTCCCAATAAAAGAAACTTTATCGCCACAAACATTTCAGGCATTAATAACAACTACAGATGCATTCATTCAATTGATTCCATGTTTGTTTCAAAAGTAAGTATGAAGCTGAATACATATTGTTAGGAAAATTTTCAAACTGATGCTCCTGAATCACGTTTTGGAATGTATCAGCGTAAATGTCAGGTTCAAATTATTAAATAAATGACCTACAATTATTAGAAAGTGAGAAGAAAATGTTTCGTTTTAAAAACAATATTATAATTTCATCATCAAATATGAATGGTTCTTTTAACGGCCCTTTTACTAGATTATGATGAAGGATTTTCTACCTTTACTTTATGATAAGGATTCTATATTTATCTTTTCGAATTATTAATGATTATTCAAGTTTACTAATTAATGAGTTTTTTATAGAAAATGTTTCTTCTGATATTTTAGCAGTGCTAGTTTATGTTTCAGGTTGTGATGCCATGAAAAAATTAAGGGTGATAAAATGCAATATTTGCCAGGACTGGTTGCAAAGTATTCATTCAGTAGATACAGCAGATGACATTTTTGGTTTTCTTAAAGAATTAGATAGGGGGAATTAAAAATTTTCCTTCTGAAGTTACTCTATTAAAATCTTCAATTGTATATTTCTTATTTGGTGAAATTCTTAAAAACATGGAAAATACATTTCTTATGCCAGGAAAGAAAATGAATATTTTACATGAGTTATCTTGCATACCGTTAGTACAGCATACAGTTACTTTAATTAACAGATTCTTGCACTTGTGGAATGACTTTACAAACTCGGTTAGAAAATATGTTTGATAACTTGTAAAATAATGTTAAATAATTATACAAAATGTAAAAATGACAATATTAATATAAAATGTTCATATAAAAAAATTTTAAAAAGTAATTAATTTCAGTTAATAACTCACAACTGTTCGTTTTTTTTTATGCTTTGCTTCTGCATAGAGTATGTATAATATGTAGCATGTATGTATATGGTACAGCTCCAAGTTTATGAATTTATTTTTAATAGTGGAATAGGCCTGTAACTTGGGGAAATCATTTTAAAAAAACCTACACTTACCTCTTGGATGGTTTGGAAAAAGTGATTCAACATAAAATTGGAACTGGTACAAATAGATGGCTGTCTTTTTATGAATGTAATTAGCATTTAGTTCTTTGAAATTATCTTGAAAGATTTCTTTATAGTATAATATGCATGTAAGTTCATCTTACATGCATATTTTATTATAAATAAATCATGGTGATCATGCATATTCAAATGATGATCTTGCATATTCAAATTTTCTAGCATTTAAGGAACTGTATTTCATTTCCCTGTTTTGACAAAATTGAGATATGCAGATTTTATTAGTGAATGGAGTGAAGAGAGATGACTATGGGTATTTGCCTTCTAAAAATTTATATAGCTGATGCGATGGTAGCGGCATGAACTTTTACAAAATAATTCTGCCCTTAACATTTATTTTACTAAGTATAAAAATCTAAAATTTACATCCATAAAATGGATATAAATGGATTTCATTTTTATCAAAATTACATAAATAAAGTTCGCATGTGGTGATTTTCAATGATATTTTTAGTTACATAAACGAAGTACAAATTGTTTTAAAAATTATTGAAGATATATATTTTTTCCGCCTGTAAAAATATTGCATTATGAAAAATTTAATGTAAATCATACGACCTACTTGCGTTTATTAATTTTACTTATATTTATTTTAAGACAAACTATTATTTTCTTTAAACTCCGTGATTATGGTAAAGAGAAAGAGATCGACTATTTTGATCATGTGACCTTCCGAAACTGATTTCACTTCAAGGCCATGATACAGTCGGCTGTGTTGCCATTCCCGGTAGACATCGAAAGTATTCCACCTGAATTTCAATTATTTTATCTTAAGTATGCATTAGTACTCAAGTATCCAGGAATAAGCAGACATGCACTATTCATGCACAGGAATATGTAAATATAAATACAGGAATATGTAAATATGCATTATTCATGCATTCTACTTTTGGCAGTACCTACACATGTGAATAGTTATTAGTCAATAAAGATCACAAAATGAAAAACAAGAACACATTTGACAGATCAGCATTTCGAGAAAACTTTACAAATTACAATACAGATTCTCTGGATATCAAAGTTTTAATAAAGCAAAAATAATGCCAAGTTCTTCATCAGATTGAAATGACTTCCATCCTGTCAGTAATGCAAGTTTTTTTATTGTCAATGAAATTTTATAACATCGGTGTGTATTACAGATCATGTCACTTTCATAATTAAAAAAAGTACAAAGTATAGTGAAATTTCCATTAAATGTCATTATTTTAACAAAAACACAAAATACTGGATATTTTAAAAATTGGTAACTCCATCACTCCCCTAACATTTACTGCAGTCTTGCAAACCTCCCTCTCTTTTAATTTTCTGCTATGCTATTTATTTGACACATGTGCTCTACATGAATTTATTGATGTGGCCCTCAAAAGTGAAAAGTTGGAGATCTAAGGAAACTTAAGATTTACTTTAGACTATAACTAGACTATACTTAGATTATAATATTCGCTCACTTCATATCGCCAAATGTGGAGAAAATTTTTCAAGCAGTTCCAAATCAAGCACTTGATGATCACTTTGAGTTCATAAAGTAAACAAGAGCAAGTAACTGGCTTTGATAAAATAATACTAAAAATACACTTTGCTTAAATCTCTAAATATTAATTTCATAGAGTATTACACACTGATGAATTCTCTGATAAATTTTAAACATATTGGGTCATATAAAAAGTCTCCGCATTTTTTTGGTACATTTTTGAACAAAAATTTTCTTTATTGAAAATCAACTTTAATCAAGTACATATTAACCGTTGATGTGTGTACATATTATTTACCTTGGAATTGCCGCCAGAGCGGACAACACACTATGGCATATGAGGAATGTCACCGAACAGCCACATATTAACCATTTATTTATGTTCCCAGAACTTTCCCATTGATTTTTAGAGCAAGTTGGCTATTAGAAAGATTGTTCCTATATAATTATAGATGTCATAATAATTGAATGAATAAAATGCAACAGGTAGAATATGCAAATGATATTTGGAAGAAAAGCCAGAATATGGAGGAATAAAGTTTTATGACCTTTTCCAATTTTTTGGGTAGCTTCATAATTCCATTGGTGTAGAACATTTGTGGTTTATCATCGAAAAACTTGGCCAAGTGATTTTCAGTGGCATTTCGGTCAGCCAATTTTTAACCATCAAGAGAGTTTTGCAGAAACTGAAATAAATGGTAGTCAGATGATGCAAAGTCTGTGCTATACGGTGGGTGCATCAAAACTTCCGAACCAAGTTCCGTCAATTTGTTCCGAGTCATCAAAAATGTGTGCAGCTGTGCATTGTCATGATAAAACATAACTCCCTTTCTGTTGGCCAATCCTGGTCGGCCTTTCTGGACTGCTTTGTTCAAACAGTTGAGTTGTGCACAGTACAGGGTCGAATTGATGGTTTCAGCAGGTTGCAGCAGCTCATAATGGACAATTCCCTTCCAATCTCGACATCGAAATTTCTGGAAAGGAATCACGCAAACCACTCCTGGGTCCTTCGTTCATTCAAAGCATTCTCACCGTACACTTCACAAATTTTTCGGCATGTTTTTGCAGTGTTTTTACCTTTTTTATGGTAAAAAAGCATTACATAGCATATTTCTTCAGATAGTTCATTCATTTTCAAATCAATGTATAACTTTTTACATGAGCAACAAATTAGAAAACTATCTTCACAAACAATGGAAGCTGAATGTCACCTTTTAAGCACATGTTCGTTTCAGCCAATTGGATGAGTGCTGCCAGATATATAGGGGCTTCAATACCATCTAGTGGCAAAAAAAAGTGTGGAGATTTTTTATATGATCCAATATATAAAAATACTCTACTACTTAAAAACTAAGATTTTCTTGTAAAATCCTTTGTCCATTGCATGAATAATACAAGTACAAATTTTGATAGTCTGCTTACTGTAACATAGGATTAGAATAAGGATCTTTTCCTATTTGGAACTCCCCCCCCCCGGCCTTTTGTATGATTTTAATCAGGTAAAAAAATTTTTTTTTTAAAGGAAGAAAGAAAAGAAGAAACTACTCTGCAGAAAATTAAAATAAATAGTTTAAGAAATTCTTTTCTTAAATTTAATTTAGTGACACAAATTTCAATAACAAATGAACTTGGAAGAAGGATCATAGAAACAATTCAGAATGTATTAGAAATTACATAATTTTACAGATTTTGAAATTTGCTTCAGTAAATATATATATCAGTTTAACATACAATATACATTTTATACCTGGAATTGATCATGCCAAATGTGCGATCATTATTTATAATCTGAACCATCATCGAAACTGTAGCAGGATTGAACAGCTGCAAAGGAAGTATTTGACCAGGAATCAGAACTACACCAGGTAGAGTAAGCAATGGAATTGTTTGACAGCTATCATCATCCAAAACTGTTCTACCACTGAGTTCTTCCAAATCATTACCTAAGTACTGAAAGCACATAAAGAAATGCAAAACAAATTCAAACAGCAAATTTTATAACACAAAAATTTCATAACCAGTTATGGCTGAAAGGATATTAAAATATCCACGTTACTGGCTAAAAGTATAAACCAATTTTGTTACTCCTTGTGTCATATGTGGTCTATATACAGGGTGTTTCGAAACTCATGGGCAAAAATTTAAGGGATGATAGAAAACATTTAAACAAACAATTTTCACCATACAATGCATGGGCGGAGAGCAAGTGGTGAACCAATAAATGGTGCTGCAAATGAAAAGCATAAAGCACATGTTTTCTTACACATTGTCGTTTCTAGCATGGATTTCAGAAGGCATGCTGACAGACAGTAATCAGGAAAAAGCAGACATGCATTTTATGTATGGTCTTGCAAATGGGAATGCTTTGAAAGTTGAAAGACTTTACATGTAGCGTTTCCTGTTTCAAGCGATTGCATCAGTGCCTGTGAGAAACGGGATCCTTTGTCACTGCATGCACGATACAGGGCATGGCAAGAGTGTGCAGAAGCCACAAGTTGTACAGGACATTCTGCAAAGAGTGGAAGATTGTCCGGATATTAGTACACGAGATTCCCCGTGCCGTAAATGTACCCCAAACAGTTGTTTGCTGAGTATAACAAGACAAAAGATTATACTCCTACCGTGTACAGAGAGCGCAAGCCTTGAAACCTACAGATTATGTGTCACATGTCAACTTTGCACTCTAGTTTCTGAAATAGCTAGCAATGCAGGCTGATTTCAGTGCACATGTGTATGGATTAATGCATCTTTACTCATGAGGGCATTTCTAATAAGCATCTTTATCACCCTTTAAATTTTTGCCTATGAGTTACGAAACACCCAGTATAACAAAAGGTATTCTTACAATAATGTTTCTCTCTAACAGAAAAATTAGTAACTTTTTTACAACACAGAATTTACACAATGATAGAAAACAGCATTAAACTTTGCATAAAGGTTTGCTATCCACTTACCTTATTTAGAAATTCCTTCGTCTTCAGTCTGTGGCACACAAAATTCCTTAACAATATCCAAAAACTTCCTAAAATAATCCGAACTCGAATCCGTATATCAAAGTCACCACATAAATTCACAAAAATAAGAGTAAAAAATATCTTACGTACTTCCGGACTATCTGGAAAATGGCTACTAAGTAAACCTTCATTTACACACCAGTTAATTAATGCACTTTTCCCCTTTCATTCCAAATCGTACAGAAACTTCAGATTAATCTTACTACATTCAGCCATTCTACTGTCTAAACCCGAGTTTCCCAACGTGGGGCCCACGCCCCACAAGGGGGCAATGCGACTGTTAAGGGAGGCAATTCGAAAATGGGCTCATGCAGAGTTTAAGGGGACAAAGGACTTTCTAAATATGTTTCATGAAGTCAAAATTTTTTGAAATTTCATTTTTTATTCCCCAAAATAAAGAAAAATGTAAGTGATGTATATGTAAAAAAGTTTTTAAATTGTGGTACATTTTAAATATTTTATAAAGAATTCTCGCTGTAGACATGGACATTTAAATGCATTTAAAGGCATTTAAATAACTGACACATTATGCTTTCCAGACGTTTCTCGCACATTTCAGCCAACATACTTTATTTTTTACTGTAGAAATGGCAACTGGTATATTATTCTTTTCTTGAAATAGGCAACAGTAGCTGCTTTCCAGCTTTGTTTATATTGATCTTATATTTATTTTTTTCAGACCCTTAGTGAAATTAGGGGTGCAAGCAAGAAAAAACGTTTCGTCAGTATTCCGGAGGCATATTTAAAATTTGGTTTCATACCCGGTCCATAAACTGTCAACATTTGTCTTTTTTTTATGCCAATAATACCTGACCAACAAATCAATGAAACTATGGCCGCTTCAGGCACATTTCAAGGCGAAACATAATGCTGATATAACTCAGATTTGAATTAATTTCACCCTTTAAGGAAAATTTTTGAAAATAGAGTAATATTAAAGTGTCTATTTACTGTTCATAATGCAACTGTTAATCGTGCTCTTGAGGCTATTTATGAAATTTCATTACTCATCGCTTAATCTGGGAAAAGCCGTGAGAATTTAATGTAGCCATCAATATCAGCATTTAAAACTGTTCTAGAAAAAGATGACAAAGACGTTAAAGCTATGCCACTAAATAACAATACTGTTTGCAGAAGAAAGATTAAATGAGTGAGGATATTGAAATACAACTTGTTGAAAAGCTGAAAACAAGAAAAGAAACGTTTCGGTGCAAATGGATGAACCAACTTTGAGATACAGTGAAGCCGTACTTGTAACTTGTGTAAGATATATTAATAAAGGGGATTTTGCCGAAGAAATGTTCTGTACATCATTAGAAAGCACCACTTACCTCCAAAGATATTTATAGTAAGCTAAAAATATAATACATCTTGTACTGCAGATGGTGCTCCTAATAATGATAGTTGTAAAAATAAAGTAAAAGCACGGAATAAGGAAAAAGGGTTGCTTTAAACTGATAAAAGATGAGAATCCAGAATTGGCTTCTTGTGCATTGTGTTATTCGTAGAGAAAACCTGGTAGCTAAAAACAATTCGCCTGTTCTAAATGAAGTACTAAATTTAGTTATAAAGTGTATCAATGCTATTAAAGCTAGGGCCAAATGTGAACGTCTTTTCAAGTTATTTTATGAAGAACAAAATGAAGACTATATGAGACTTGTACTTCACACTGAAGTAAGAAGGCCGTCGAAAGAAAACTGCTTGGAAAGATTTATGGAACTATTTGATACTCTTAGTTATTTTTTAAGCGACAAACCTGAAATGAAAAATCCATTAATGGATGATAACAAGGCAATTGTGAGTTATTTAGCTGAATATCTTTGAAAAATTAAATATATTAAATAAACAACTTCAAGGACAAACAAAACTTATGATGCAAGAGGAAGATATTTGGTTTCATTATCTTTGTTGAATTATGTCCGGCATATACTATTTACCACAAAAAGTTTGAAAAGTCTCATTGGCTCCAAAAATGTGATGCGACTACCCCTATACTTGTTATTGTCAATCATCTGAAAATTTTATCGGCTGATTTAAAAGATTTTGTAACTTAAAACAAATTGATTTTCCAATTCGGATGATGCAGCCAATGCTAGTGGATTTAGCTGACATTTCAAATATGCAGTAAAAAAAAAGAACTCGCAGAAATGCAAAATGATGAGTCAATTAAAACTTTATTTAATATAAAAGGAGCGATGACATAGCTTTGTGAGGAAACCAGAATCAGATATACAAATGCAACAAAATTTGTAAGAGAACTACTGTTACCGTTTCCATCTTCATATTTTACTGAATGCGGATTTAGTGCCATAAATAATTTGCTGCTAAAAAAAATAATTAAAAAAAATCAGTTCGATATAATGAAACCGGGAGACTTGAGACTCAAGTTATCTAAATTGGAATCTGACACAAAATTTCTTTGCAGCAAGTATCAAGCGCAAGGAACTCGCTAAATTTAAATAATAAAAATTACTAATACATAAAATAAAAAACTTTCACTAAAATGAGTTTTTTCTTGAATTTCAGTTATCCATGTTCTGAAAGTTCACATACTGTGTTTGCTCATAAAATTTCGTAGTCATTTCTTCCTAAAAGCTATCATTCAAGTTTCTTTCGTAAAAATTTCAGTTTTTAAATATTAAAAATTATGTATATGCTAGTGCAAGCTTAAACCTTTTAGAGAGGATTAGATGGGGCATAGCACAAAAAAGGTTGGGAAACACTGGTCTAAACAATGAAACAAGCAATGTGCTTCCTAACAACAAACAGCACAAAAGCCCTTACAAAACATCCCATGATTCAAAATTTCCCAAAATAATGCTAACGATTACCTCATAATAGGTTTTCCATAACATTCAACTACTCAGGTTAGCATAAATGAAACAACTTGGCGATAAACGAAACAACAACTTTGCGATAAATGAAACAACAACTTCGCGATAATACAAAGGGTACCCTAAAGTCAACTGTTTTTACTAATAGTTGCTACAAATGTTACACCATTAGTATAACTAATGAAAATCATTTGCAACAAATATAGGATTTGTATTAGTGAATTATAGTTAACAATAATGGTTCCACTGTTCTGCATAATGTAGGAATAATTTGAAGATTAAATCCGATAATCTCTTAAGATAGTTCTGCAGTCAAAAAAATTAAAATATATCTCATAGTATAAAAATTAAAATATATCTCATAGTATTTTGATTAAACTTTCTTTTCTTTATAAATATTGAATTTCAGTTTGCATACACTTCATTAAATAATGAAAAAGTGTTTCATCCACATGATAACATTAAGCACTGAAGAACGTTTAATGTGACTACTTTTAATTGAGGCTTCCTATCAGCAACACTCTTAATTCTAACTCACAGCTTTAATTTTTGGACCAGGATATGAGCATAACATTAATCTCCCTTTAACAATTCTTCTGAAGCACTGTGACATGATAATGCTTAATAATATACTCTTAACATTATTAAGAATCATTTTCTGGATTCCCACACTGATTTTTTTCTCAGAGATGTTAGAATTGCAAGAGACAAATATGAATAAAGTATATGTACAATGCAAACATACAATAAAGGAAAATGAACCCCAAAAATACTAATCGATTTATACTGAACTATAAGGAGGAGTGTATTAGAGAAAAAATGACTAAAAATCGATTAAAAGTGCTAGGTTGAAAGCCAATTTAGTTAAGAGTATTTCTCAGATATTTTTATTCATATATAATATAGCATTCAAATTACATTTGCAATACAAATTCATTGATATAATAAATATGTATCCTTCTATTCCATGCCTTACAAAAAAGATATATTTGACTCATAGTTTATCTTTCAACAACCCATTTTAGTAGTATTAAATCATATTTCTTCATAGAAATCATTTTTTCTATATTTTCCTCTCTATAAAACTGAATGCAAAGAAGTC